TCCATTGGCCCTCGTTCTTACTGCTACAGTCACTGAAAAGAAAATGAGTGCATGCCTTTTTGCGACGGACGTTGAATCCTTGCTTACAAACGGTTTACTGGTTTCCAATCGCTTGTCGGATATTGTTGTGTCAAGTATCAAAAAGAGTTATAAAGTAGACCTGGGTAATTTTTGAGTAAAAGAGAAAGGCGAAAAATAGAACCAAGCATCTTTTTATATGAGCCACCACGAAATTGACTGTCTACTGCCTTTACCTCGCCCATCATGACCTTTTTACACACAACCACCTGCTTTCTATTCAAGCATCCCACCCACCCTTTTTTTCATACAGAATACCCAAGAATAACACCCCACCTCCCACCAATACAAATAAACATATATACACAATGAACAGATACTAGTAGTATTTTTTTTAAATTTTTTTATTACTCATATCGAGCAAAAGGGAACTCATTCTTGTAAAGGTCCGGCCAGGAAACGCCGTCCTTGTCCCAGGCATATGCAGCACTAAGCTGCATATACGCGTTGTGGACGCGCTCGCGCTCTGCCATCGCTGCATTGCTGTCAAAACTGATGGCGCCTGTTCTCTCGTCCAACGTGGCGAACCGGCAGTCAATAGGGCGCGACTTGTTCCACCCCTCCTGGTGCTTGCGGCAGTAGTGGAAGGCTTGACCGGGCTTTGAGCGTGGTTGGTAGGCGCCGGTCCAGGTGTGTGCCTTCTGGGCCTTAACAAGGTCAAAGTAAGCCCTCTTGCCCTGGGCTTCCTTAGCGGCTTGGACCAGATGCTGCTGGACACCTCGGAAATTTTGCCATGCTTGTTCTTGGCGTTGTGCTTGTGTCTGCCTTCCAGGGCGCGGGACGGGGGAAGGCCAGGTGGAGAAATAGCACCCCGAGACGTCGATACTGTTGGTTGTGGTGGACATGTTTACGAGAGAGAGAGAAGGTGTGTGTTTGTGTGTGTGTCGAGATAAGAAAAAGCAATACGTGTGCAAAGATGTGCGTGGTAAAGTACTGACTTTCACCTGAAAATAACATGGCTTTTATACTCTTTTTTCTCTTGACTAGGACACCTCTTACAGTAACAATGTATTTTACAGCACACGGTCAGGATCCCTCAATATGCTTGTCAAAATGCATCAGGAGCTTATCCGTGTTATCAATTGAAAGCGACCATCAAGATGCTTGTGCAACAAACGTGCGCTGATTTTTTCGAGCTTTGCTTGCAGTACAGTAATGCATGGACGAATATCGTTTTTTTCCCACCTTGTGCACCCATCGGACGATGTATGTTCCACACCGCCATGCTCCCCCCAACAGTAATCACAGCAGATTATAGATTGTTTTTGAGAAAGACTCAAGTTTTTTTCATTGCTTATCGCCATACACAAGTATTGCCTTTTTTATCACGGAATACTAAAGCCTTGTTTCCTTACCAACATTTGTTACCGTCGTTTCCGTCGCGATAGTGCTTATTGATTCAATGTCTTGCCTATCCACGGCATATGATAACGGGTATCGTTCTTTGCCGAGTTTGCCGCTTTACAACACTCCACCATATCTGCCCTTGTATTTTGACCTTTCGGACCATTTTTCTTGTCAAAGATCGGAAATGCATATTTCCCTTACACAACACTCATATCCATTTTCTTTTCGGCTATCAACGGTATCTAATAATACTATCACTCCTGACAGAATCTTGTCCTTCCGGAAAAGAAGGTCGATCACTTTAAATCATTCACACCACACCTACATATGCCTATCACTACATATCAATTGCCAAGGTTCCGTTTATATCTAAGGTTCGTGTTGAATAATCTTGTCTTTGACAACACCGGAATCAGTCTTCTACCCTATCTAATCGATATCTGATAATACAGTCATCTTTATGATGAACACTAGTGCCTTACACTCTCTCGTCCTTAAACTCACTTGGCTGTTTGTGTCAACCGCCATTTCGAGAACGGTATCGGATGGCCATTTCCTTCAACGTCTTTGAATATCAAGCACAAATTTGCGATAAACTCTTTATTGATATCACAAAGAGCAAACATGGCCGCCGCTGATAATAACTATGTATAAAAACCCTCTTTTTTTGTTTATATCACCACTTTGCTTACACTCTCCATCCCATACTATATTTTCTTTATCATGTCGCTATCCAACGTTAATCAGGTACTTTATCATTACAACTATTTGGTTTTATCAAAACATACCTGACTTTCTGAAAAAACTTGATACTGAGAGATTTATGAATACGTTTTGTAGGGTCCAACTGCATTTCTACTCGAAAATTTGATCATAAACATGACGTTGCCTGCATCTGAGGAAGAACTTGTCACCCGAATCCTAGAACTTGTTCCAAACCTGAAACTACCGACGAAACAAGAGATATACGGGAGTGCAACGTTTACTATTGAGCCTTGGGTCTACTACTATGCCTTCGATAAGTCGGCAAAACGATCCAAAGACCTGGCACTTAAATTAGTAGCCAACATTGCTACTTTGTGGGTGTTCATGTACCACCACATCACACAAAGTAGCCACAGGCTAGACCAATTTATCACAGGTATTGCTCGTCTAGAAAAATTGTATCG